TGATAAAAAGGATGTGAATAAGGAATCGAAGGGTATTTCCAGATACATTGCTCAAAAGAATCGACACAATACGCCCAGTCGATTGGAATTGAAAATTTTTTGTCCCTACATACAAAATGACAGCCGAGGAATGCCAATCTTCAGGCTTTATTTGTAAGGTTTCTATTATGCGATAATCGAAACCCAAAGATCTATGAACTAGAGATGGAAAATTCGCCCACTGGGTTTTATCAATTTGTAAATTCTTCCACAATTAGTTAAAAGAATGAAACTGGTTGATATTATGACAATATTAGGTAGCATAGATATTATTTTGGGAGAAATTGATCGTTGAAATGATAATTGATACATCAGAAATACAAGATATCAATTATTTTTCCAGAGTGGCATATTTAAAGGAGGCCTGTGGATATTTGCCCCTATTTTTCTTCATGTATTGGGAATCACAATAAGTGTACTAGCAATTGTATGGTTAGAAAGAGAAATATTTGCAGGTATACAACAACGTATTGAACTTGAATATGCCGGCCCAATCAAAGAGAGATTCAATCACTAAAAGAAATACTGATTCTTTGTTGGGATCTTTCCTTTCTTCAAACGCAACGAATAGAGATAGAATCATAGCGATTCCCTAGATGTTGTTTTGGATATTCCTCAAAGTGTCGACTATTCATGGAATGTGAGGAGCAGATGAAGAATCATTTGTCAAGAGCCAACTGTTTTTATTTCTCTGACAAATGATTAGAATGTCATCGGGTCGAATCCTATTGAGAGATCCCCATATTTCTTATCCAATTTCCAGATTGGTTGTCGTTTTTTTTACTTGTTTAGAGTGAAATAGGACTATCTTAACAAATCTTAATATTAAAATGAACAATTTCGAAATCTAAATGATAGATCAAAAAATTCTATGGAATTATGAAACATGTGTTCTGATTTCATAATTATAATGGGTGACATAAGATAATTTTTTTCCAGCAACATAAGAGTATAATTTCTATATATGGGAAAATTTGGTTTTCAGTCACTGGATATAAGATTTTGTCAAGTCACCGCATTATAATTATGTACTCTGGAAAATACATAGTTATAATGTTAAAGTTCTGCTTTTTTTTCTTTTCATAAACTTGTCTGCTGATGTGAAAAGTGGAAAAAAATATAACTTTAATATTATAACTATATATTCTCCATAATACATAATTATAATACGGTGTCTGGACAAAATCTTATATCGACACCAAATGGACCATTCCATATATATATATATATATAGAGAGAGAGTGTGTGTGAGAAAGTGAGAGAGAGTTTAATGTTATGATTCTACATATCCCAATTTGTCATTTTCTCTTCGGTACTTCTTATTTTTCACTTATATGGTTTTACAACATGGATTTGTGCCATTTTGGAGCGACATTGTAGAATATAACTTTTAATTTATAATTTCATAAATATTCAAGGAATATTTGGTTTGAGGGAGAATTGACATATTTAGGACTCACACTTAAATAGAGATATTATTTGAAACTTAAATATGAGTGGTAAAGTCTTACATCACATGAAAATTAACAAGATAACAAAAAATTAAAATTAAAATAATTATTAATTTTAATATTTTAAGTTGAAATGTGAAGTGAAATTCACTTATTATAAATTATTAATATGTAAATGATAATTTACTCTGTTTTGGACTACCTCACTTGCATAATAACAAGTGACAATTCCTTTTTTTCTCTGTAACAATTAACATTATTTATTTATTTATTTATTTTTCAAATAAAAATCTTCCAATTATAGGCGACTATTGAAAAAATGGAGCCCTTCCATCTTCTATTGTGAGCAATGCCAATGATTCGATTTTAGTTACGGAAATCTTTATTATGCTCATGTCCCTTCATGGTCCTTCCATTAAGAATAAGACACATGAATTTTTTTTTTCTCCCTTTTCTTTTCTCTCTCCTCAATTTCTCTTTCACTCTCTCTCCTTCACCCCACCCAATCCCCTGTGAGCCGGGTGCGCCAAATTTAATCTCTTTAGTTACCATCTTCTATTGTGAGCCCTTACATTATTTATTTATATTTGATTTTTAAAAAAAATATTTGACTTTTGATTTCTATTTTTTTGTAGAAATTAAAATTTTTAACTTATGAAAAAAGTAAATTTTTAATTTTTTTTACGACTTCTGTTTTTTTAAAAGCAAGCATCCAAATAGACTTTTTTTTCGAGAAACGCTTTTTTTTTTCTTAAAAAAAATAGTTTTTGAAAAAATATTCATCCAAACGAACTCTAAATATAATAGATATAGATGTACTTTTTTAAAAAAATTCTAGTCTTACTCGATTGGATTACATAAGTAATTATATTCATTTAAAAAATTCCATAAATATGTAAAACTTTAATAGATATTACATTGGCATTTATTTATTAATATTAATTCAATAAAATATGAACAAGCTCCTCTGTTATCCTCCGCGAATCGTGCTATAATTTGAAAAATGTATCCAAGCGGCAAAAAAATCTCCTCTTACTCCTAGGAAAGTAGTGCCCTTTTTGTTTTTTAATATATCTCCTAGAAAAGTAGTATTCATTATAATCGAATCAGTTCAAAATCTTTTATATAAAAATTGGATGGATTCAATTCAACCACGAAAACAGGGATGGATATTTTAACTACGAATCCAATTTTAGTCGTTAGTAATATATTTAATTCTTGTTGAGTTGCAATTAATCTTATATAGAATTTTATTGATTTTAGTTTTGTATAACTTTCTTATGCTCTTATTAAATTGTATTAAATTTTCAATATTTATTTTTTTAAAGCTTTGAATAATTAAATTCATATTTTTCAAATAAGTAAATAAATTAGCAATTGAAGTTTTTGATAAAATAAACCGATTAATAAATGAAATAGACATAATATTATGATACAATAGATCCTCTAAATTAACAACAACAACAAAATTATGCATTGACTAGAAATTTAAAACGTTGAATATTATCATTGATGGTTGTTGTTGGGGTTGAAATGATCATAATCTACACACAAAGTTCATGTGGTGTTGGGGTTTACCCCTCCATATCACAAAAAAAAAAAAAAAAAAAAAAAAAAGTTTATGTGGTGTTTGGGTTCAAACCTGGGCTCAATTACTTTGTGAATATTATGTTTGAGACTAAGTGCTTGATGATGGAATATAGGTAGTTTGAATGAGCTTTTAGAAAAATGATTTTTTTCTGCCTTGTTTATTTAAGATGTGGTTTTTACAAAAGTTAAAGCTATTTAGATTTTGAAAAAAATATTTGGCTTTTAACTTCTATTTTTTTTAGAAATTAAAATTTTTAACTTGCAAAAAAAAAATTGACTTTTTTTGTGACTTCTCGTTTATTTTAAAGCAGATGTTCAAACACTAATTTGTCAAGAGAATAATTTTTTTTCTAAAAAAAAAGTAGTTTTTGGAGAGAGAGAAATAGATCAAGACGGGACTTTTAGGGTATGCATGACAACCACTATGTTCATTGGCACTGTTTCTGAAAAGAAATAATTCTTTTCTATTTCTGTGCCTTGGAACAGTTTCTGAGAATAAAAATGTGTTTGATAACATGTTCAATTTTTATTTTGATAACACAACAAATAATATAATAAAAAATAATTCCTATTAAGCATAATTTTTTTTCGGATTATCACTTTCCTTTTCACATGATGTGGTGGTGGTGGTGGCGACGGCGACGATGGTGGTGGCGTGGTAGAGATGGCAGTGGCTGCGATAATGGTGGTGGTAAGGGTAATGGCATAGTGGTGGTGGTAATGGTGGCGGTGGTGGTGGCGATGGTGGTGATGACAGTGGCTGCGAAGATGGTGTGGTGATTGGTGGCGATGGTGGTGTTGGTGACGGCAGTGGCTGTAGCGATGGTAGTGGTAGTTAGTGACGGTGGTGGTGGTGGTGATAGCAGTGGCTGCGGCGTTAATAGTGGTTAGTGACGGTGGTGGAAGTGGTGACGTCGTGGTAGTGGCAACAACGTGGTGATGACGATGGTGGTGGTGGTGGTGGTCATGGTGATGGCGGCAGCGGCGATGGTGGCAGTGGCGGCAGCGGAGATGGTGGCAGTGGCTGCGGCGATGGTAATGGTGGTTAGTGACAATGGCGTCGTGGTGGTGGCAATGACATGGTGATGGCGATGGTGGTAGTGGTGGCGACGGCATCGGTAATGACAGTGGCTGCGGCGATGGTATGGGTGACGGTGACGGTGGCGGCGGTGGTGATGGTCGTGATGGGTGGAGGTGGTGGCGATGGCGTCGTGGTGGTGGTGGTGGTGACGACAACATTGGTGGTACAACGACGGCGGCAGATGGTGGCGGTGGTCATGTCTGGATGATGGTGCTGATGATAATGATGATAGTGGTGGAGAGTAATTGAGAGAAATAAGTGTTTCTCATTTTGTGCCCGGGAACAAAAAAACAGAAATTTTTTTATTCTTTTTTCTGTTCCCCAGCACAAAAATTAATCCGGTTCATCCCGGGATCAAAAAAATAAATCAATTTTACCAAACGAGTTTTCTATCCATTTCTGTTCCAGGAAATATAAATTAAAAAAAAAACGATTCCGGAAAGGCTGTGATACACACCCTACATGTTTCTTTACTTCCCTTCAAATAAGGCTTGTGGTGAGTTGTAAACTTTTAAAAATTGTTGTACATTGATAACCCATTTTAACCAAAATAAAAAATAAGAAACTGCCAAATATTTTTGTAAATCTTAAACGAGGCTTAAGACTAGAGTACAAACAAGTTAAGCATATTAGGCTTTACCTTCAATGAGGCTGCAAAACTATTTTTCAAATATAAAGTCTAAGTTTCGTATATTTCAATCCCCCGAAAATCTATTTAAAGGCCTAAAACCATATTATTATTATTTTGGAGATATTCCCTAAAACCATATTATTAAGTCTATAAACACTCTCATATTTATCATAATTTTTATAAAAATGTAGTTATATTACCTTACTCTAATGAGTGTAATATTGTATCCTATTTTTTTAATTTAATAAAAAAATACAATACAAATGAGACCTTTTTTTTTTTTGGTAAACACAAATGAGACCTTTACTACCACCATTCTATTAAAAAAAAGAAAGAATAATCCATCCATTAAAACAAAAAAGTGTGGTGACGATTCTACATTTATTAAATTTAATGACCATAAAGATGTAGTAAATAAGACCCATTAAATTATGTATCCAATTTTTATAGTCTTATATTTAAATAAATATACTATAAATTGTTATATGAATCTTGTGTTACATTCAGAGTATATTTATGGCTCCATTATTATTCTCTAACTCAATATTTTCTCATTAATTATATACTTGTTTATTATGAGTGATTTTTAGAATTAATTATTATAAGCATGATTATGCTTATAGCTATACTCAAGGCCTATAAATAGGCTAATAGACTTATCTCTATAGATGATGCGGACGTGCCTAAACTTTTAGGGTTAAAACTTCTTATGTTTTTTTTTAACATGACTAATTGACTATGTCAAGTGTTAAATCTCAATCATGATGTATTAATAGATCAACGATTAATATTTAAATGACAAAGCTCATAAAATGAAAAAGTAAAAATGATCATTTTAAATTATGATTGTTGATTCGTTAATGAATTACTCAAATTTAATGTGTGATATGATCATGTTAAAATTATCATATTTTTATGTTTTCTAAGACATTGCATTAAAATTTTAATACAATATTATATTATTTACATTAGACTTAAATATTTTTTTGGATAACTTAAAGGATAAATGATTTCTTCAGAGATAAGTTATCTTCGTTAAGTCCAAAACGACATCGTTTTGGGGTGAAAATCAACGTATTTTTGTAGTTTTAATATATTGTAAGGTTATATTAGTCTTTATCATTATAATTTTTTAATCTTATAACCCAAAACGACGTGTTTTGAGCTCACTGGAAATAACTTTATCTCCAGTGACCGAATAAATACTTTTCCCTACCTTAAATCATAATATTTTTGTTTAAATAGTTTTTAAAGCTTAATATAAGGCAGGTGAATATTATAAACTAGTATATATATATATATATATATATATATATATAAGAAAAAAATATCTAATGTTATTTTACACAATTTTGTCTAATTTCACTGAAATGATGACATTTTAGGGTTGAAAAATTAAAAAATTAGAATGATAAAGACTATTATAACAATAAAAAAAAATTAAAATTACAAATACACCATAATTTCTACCCAAAATAACGTTATTTCGATAAACATTAGACATAGTTGTCTAAAGTAATTTTAGAAAAAATGAACCCATATATATATATGGATTTACTTTTCTCATTCAACACAAGATAAGATTTGCATCCAGTTGAAACAAAAAAGTGGACCCACTAATTTAAAAAAAAAAAGGACAAAAGTCGATGTATATGAAGGAAAGAAATCTCATCTTCTGCGAAATAAGAAAACTAAAGCCCATATATACGTATAGGAAATAATATTTCTCCTGCATGATAGAGATAACTTTATCTCATGCATTCACAAGAAAGTGAGTGAGACCGTATAAGAAAATGAGAGAGAATGAGAAAAAGTGGGTCGCACCCACTTTCATATGATGATTGCATGATAATTTCATTTTATAGAAGAAATATTATTCTCATATATATATATATAAGGGTTTAATGTTTCTTCGGTTACTGGAGATAAAATTATCTTTAGTTACTCTAAAATGATGTGGTTTTGGGGTTGAGAGAAAAAAATTATAATGATAAATGTTAATATAACTCCAGAAGAAATATGAATTACAAAAATACTTTTCTCACAACCTAAAACGACGTCGTTTTTGGTTAAATTCATATATCAATATTGTTGGTATTTAATAAGTATATGTTGTTATAGTTTACTAAAAATAATGTATATATATAGGATTTATGTTTCTTATATTGTAGGAGATAATCTTATCTCATATACATATATATATAAGTATGTGAGACTCATGTTTTTTTTTCTCTTTTTTTATATAGCCCCACACATTTTATGTGTGTATAAGAGATAATTTTATCTGCTATAATATGAAAAAAATCAAACCATATATATATATATATATATATATAAAGTGTAAAATAAACTTTTTATTGAAATAAAAATACTAAATAGATATAAAAGGGGTAGGGGTAATACAAGGGTAAGATCGTCTAGAAAGGATTAAAATTAAAAAAATAAAAGAACTCCCATTCGTTGACCCTTAGAATTCAAGTGGCGGCCCCTACGCCGTTGGCGTTGCTTGACCTTCTTTCTCTCTCCATCTCTCTCACCAAAGCCAACTCTTCATGACTTGTTCATCTCTCTCTCTCTCTCACTTGTGTATGTCCTTGTAGTATTAAAAAGCCAAGGCACTAACAACCAACATAACCAAAGCAGATAAGAAGCAAAGCAAAGCCAAAAACCAAAGGCTGCTCTGCACCACTGTCCACACCACCAAGTAGAAACCAAGATTTTCTGTGTGTTATATATTATTGTCTTAAAACAACCTCAACCTCAAACATGGAGGACCTCTTCTACTGGCTTAAGCTTCTTTCTTTCTCGTTCATGTTCCTCCTTTTACTTCTCAAGGTTACTATTTTGCTCTGGTGGAGACCTAGAAAAATTCAAGTCCATTTCTCCAAACAAGGAATCAGAGGACCCCCTTATCGTTTCTTCATTGGAAACGTTAAGGAACTTGTCGGCATGATGTTGAAGGCTTCCTCTCAACCTATGCCTTTCTCTCACAACATTCTTCCCAGAGTCCTTTCCTTCTACCATCACTGGAAGAAAATTTATGGTACTTATTTGTTTTTTTCCTTCACCTTTCTCTCTTTGGATACATTTTCTTCTACCTTTTCCTCTCGTCACTAATTAGTTTTCAAAGAATAACTGGGTTTTTTTTTTTTTTTTTCTCTTTCACTCTCTTGTCTTCTAACTTCTTTTCTCAATTTCAAAATGAACAAATGCATTTGATTTTAGAATATTTTCAGACCCCTTTGAACCATATTGATAAGGTTTGTAATAATTCTTATCTCTAGTTCGAAACAATAGTCCTTCTCATCATCATTAAAGTTGGCGTTCTTTCAGTGCCATGATGATGTTTCTTTTTCTAGTTTTATGATAGATCCTTCAGAATTTGAGACTTTTCAAGCCTTCAATGACTCGTTCCGGAGTTAGGGTGCTTCTTTATGCAACTTTGCAGGCTTTTTTTTTTTGTTTTTTGTTTTTTTTCTGAGCTAGCTCCTAGCTGTTTGATGCATGATGTTGAAGTTCCAAGTTTGGACTGTAGCTAGCTCCACCTGGTTTTTCTCTTTCCATCCGTTTCCCCCCCTTTATTTTTTCTTTATTTCTTCACTATACCCTCCTTGAATCCTCAACTTTTCTAGCCTCAAAATCCAACAAGGCTTCAGATTGATGTGTAATCAGACATTTGTTTCCTACTGACTGCTCTGTAAGGATGTCAGTAATGCAAATCTTGTCCATATTCTCAATTTCCTTTTCCTATAAGGAAAAAAAAAATTAAAAATATCCAGCTTATTTATTAGGTACTCTCTACATTACAGTCATAATTTTTATGATATATAAGTGCACTTTGTTGGCATTGAGGAGTTGTCATCTGCTTTTGCTCTCTTTTTCCATGTCCTATTTGTTTTGTTTTTGTATGGGAGGAATTGAATTTTGACAATGTAGTTGTAAAATGTTTGGTACCAGTTTTAAAATTGACTTGTCTTCTTCCCAACTCCTGCTGTTTTTGCCATCTCTCTCTCTCTCTCTCTCTCTCTCTCTCTCTCTCTCTCAACGTCTCTGTGCTGTAGGGTCTACACTACACTATCCATGCTTCCTCTGAAAATAATGGCTGTCATGTTTCCTGCTCCTTCCTCTTTTTGCAAACTTCACACTTACTACTTGAAGGAGTATGGTAGTTCCAACTTTGTGTTAAAAAAAATAAATAAAAATCATTTCACCTCAGTGTTTTATTTTTTTAATGCTTCTAAATAAAATGGTACCTATATATACAATAAACTAATTAATCAATCTTAATATAACTCATTAGTTAATTAATTAAGTTAATCTCTCACTATATTGGATACAGGTGCAACATTCCTTGTTTGGTTTGGACCCACTGTTCGTCTCACCGTCTCTGATCCAGACCTTATCCGGGAAATATTCACATCCAAGTCAGAATCGTACGAGAAAAACGAAGCTCCCCCACTTGTGAAGCAGCTAGAAGGTGATGGGCTTCTTAGCCTTAAAGGAGAGAAATGGGCTCACCACCGAAGAATCATCTCTCCCACTTTTCACATGGAAAATCTCAAAGTAATTAACTCCTATCTAGCTACCCCATTCTTTTTTATTATTAATATGAATACATATATATGCTACATGCAATTTTATTTTATTTTATTATATTTTAAAATCATTATGGTATATATAAGTAAGATTTTGTGTCTAACATATAAATATATATATTATGTTTTTTAGTTGCTGATTCCGGTGATGGAAACAAGCGTGGTTGAGATGTTGGAAAAGTGGTCGGCAATGAGTGAGAAGGGTGAGGTGGAAGTTGAAGTTTCGGAGTGGTTTCAAACCCTAACAGAAGATGTCATTACGAGGACGGCATTTGGAAGCAGCTACGAAGATGGCAAAGCCATTTTCCGCCTACAAGCCCAACAAATGCTCTTGGCTGCTGATGCCTTTCAAAAAGTCTTCATTCCTGGTTACAGGTATATATATATATATCTTTAATTACTTAATTATAACAACTAATCATATATATTTCATTCTCCCATGATGACATGTAGTGCTACGTATATTAATCGGTATCAAGTTATTAATTATTGTTACACTTGATGATCATGTACAATATATTGTTAGATTCTTTCCCACAAGGAGGAACATAAAATCTTGGAAATTGGACAAGGAAATTAAGAAATCGCTGGTGAAGCTGATCGAACGACGGAAAGAGAATTCGTGTGGGAATGAGAGGATCGAAAAAGGGCCTAAGGATTTACTGGGTTTAATGATTCAGGCCTCCAACACCAATGCCTCCAATGTCACAGTGTATGATATCGTGGAAGAGTGCAAGAGCTTTTTCTTTGCAGGCAAACAGACCACATCCAACTTGCTGACGTGGACGACCATTCTCCTAGCTATGCACCCACACTGGCAGGTACTGGCACGTGACGAGGTCCTCAAGATGTGTGGAGCACGTGACCTCCCCACTAAAGACCATGTTGTAAAGCTCAAGACGGTAAGCAACCCACCCCTTGAAGCCTTTTCTGCTATCATGTTATTAATATTTGGACCCAAAAAAATAAACCATGTTTTGTCTCTTAGCTCTTGTGTTAGCCTTTGTTTCCTCACAAAAACCAAGCTGCCACCTTTTGCTTCCTCTTATCCGCTGTGAAGGGAACATGTACTAGAACTTTGGTCCCCTAGTGGCAATTCTGTCTTTTCAAAGTTATTTCTCATCACCATCATCTAAATCAAAATAAATGGTTTTGTTATTTTTTTTTTTTTTTTGTCCTCTTTGAATTTTCTATTAATCTAATCTTTTGGGCTATAATCTGGTGTGCAGCTAAACATGATTGTGAATGAGTCTCTAAGACTGTACCCACCCACTATAGCCACAATCAGACGTGCAAAAACAGATGCGGATTTAGGGGGTTACAAGATACCACGTGGGACCGAACTCTTGATTCCAATCCTAGCCGTTCATCATGATCAAGCCATATGGGGCAATGATGTAAATGAATTCAATCCTGGCCGTTTCTCTGAAGGGGTGGCCCGCGCGGCGAAGCATCCAGTGGCATTCATACCATTTGGTCTCGGTGTGCGCACATGCATAGGACAAAACCTTGCAGTGCTACAAACCAAACTGGCCCTAGCTATCATACTGCAACGTTTTAGTTTCAGGTTGGCCCCTAGTTATCAGCACGCACCAACGGTCCTGATGTTACTATATCCTCAGCATGGAGCGCCAATCATTTTCCAACATTTGTCAACAATGGATGATACTGATCAAGGGTCCTCCTCATAGGATGTTGGGGGTTCTATGCTATGCATGCTCCTCCACTGTGTGCAAGTTTGTGTAAAGTATATATAAATTATGTGGCTTGAGTTTGGGGACCCAATTACCCCCATATGGCTTTTCCTTAAGTTTAAAAAGTATATCTATAAATATATATAGGAACAGAGAGATGTGTGTCGAGCAAATTTACGGTGGTGCCCTTCCCCATTGGTGAACATTTATCTCATGTTTTTTTCCCCCTCTCCAGGACATACTAACTCTAGCATGTGAGGTTTGGTTTGGTTCTTGGCCAAGTTTCTTTTGCCAATTGTAATGTAGCTAGTAGTAGGTAGTGGTGTGAGTTATAATAGGAGTAAACCATTAGGTGGCTAACGATTCGCTAGATAGGTGCTTGACTTGTGTATCTTGTGTATATTTTCCTTGATTTTTATTTATTTTTTTAACAGAGATTTGTAATTTGTAATTTTGTAATGCATTCTTTTGGCCCTTTGATTGTCTTTTGGAACTGTAACACCATTGGTTTTCTTGTGATTATTTAATCCTCTTAAGTCTCCACACCTTTCCCTCTCTGCCTGTCTCTTTCTCTGTGTGTATGCTTCATCAATATTAAACATGTGCTGGGGCAGAGTTTGAAATAAAATGTTGAGAGAGCTATACTAAATATTCAAAACTGTCATATCATTTGTACGAAATGAATATTTCCTGTTATAATTTCTCAACCTACTTGCATTTCATTTTAGTGACCAATTAATCCTGTATTATAAATATCAAGAAGTGTAATCTGTAAAAAAAACAAAATGAATAACAATAATAATAATGGTAAATATTATCACTTATCTTTATAACTGACATTTGGGGAGGCCATGTCTCCCCCTCTGTCACACTCAAGTCCGCCACTGAACATGTGAATTGCAATCTATTGGCTTAACTCTGTATAAGAAAAAAACAACTCAATTTGATGCAAGTAAGTATATAATTGGTGACTATTGCTGCTGATAAACACAAGTAATGGGGTGGTGATTCCGATCCGATAATAAAGTGTAAGCTCCAAAACAAAACAAATGAAAATAATTATTTGTACAAATGCACCACATGCCCAACAAATATTATTTAGCACGGGACTTCAAAAGAGAATTGATTTTTTTTGTTGGAAATATTTCACCAGTTCATCGCTTCGCGATTAGTCCAATTCGGAGGGGGTCCAGGATTAAGGCTTTAAATCTCTCCCAAAGATGATACTGAGAAGATTCGAACACATGCTCTCACCCCCACCTGCTCAGCTCCCATGCACCAACTGAGCTACCACCATTTGGTGAAAGAGAATTGATTCTAGACTATATATTTGAACAATTTTTTTTTTCTCCCTTTTTGGCAAGGATTTAATTTGAAGGAACAAAAAAAACTCAAACTGGGCGAGGAGAAGGAGGAATTAGATGAAGAAACATTGGAAACGGAATTCTAAACCACTATCTGCCTCTGACATGAAGACCCACAAATCTTTATCATTGGTTGTCCCCAAAGGAGAAGCGTTGGTCAAGATTTTATTTCATAATTTCACCCTCCATGATGAAGAATTATTATCTTTTCAATGTCCTTGCACTTTTGCAATCTCCATAGATGTAGTTTGCCTACTTCTAGAACAAAACTCATGAGTACCACAGCAATAGTAATTTGTTAGGGACTGAACTCTATTGTCCTTCATTTTCCAAGAAAGACAAGTCATAATATCCCTTTCTTATTGCATGGTAGCAATTTGAAGCTTTCTTGAATTAAGAGAATTAAATGGTATACAGGTAAGATTGCGAAACCCCATAGTTGTTGGGTTTCTAAGTTCCTTCTCATGTCATTTTTTATTCAGTTTATACTTGTGATCTGTGCAACCCTGTTTTCCAGCACTCAACACAATTTCGTACATGTCCTTTATAATGTGTTGGCCAAGATTTAACAGAAAAAAAAATGTTGCCTTATTAATTAGTTGCTTTTTTTAAAAAATAAAATAAAATAATATTTAAGATGGAAACTAGTTATCCCATGGTAGCTTCCTTGAATTTATTATATAGTCCTATTTGTTGGGCCATGCAGATGAGTAAGATTTGTGTTACCTTAAGGATTTCAAGCGTGTATCCCAAAAAAAAAGGATTTAAAGCGAGAACAGTACATTTAAGACAATAAAATGTTCTTTTGAAGCAAAGGGGACCATAATCCAGCATGCAACACATTGTTTATCGATTCTAATTTATGGGATTTTCGGCATTTGAGTTATATAATTTAGTAAGAAGTAAGATTTAGAGCAACACCACCCCTGTGTACTGTTTTTTGGGATCTTCTCATCCCCTTACGCGGAATGGGGTAAGAGAGCTCTTATTTTCTCTCTTTTGCTGGTTCCCAAGATGCATGTGGTTAGGGGAGATCTTCTTGTCTTCTAATTTGAGTTTTCTTTTTAGCTTTTACTAAAGGAACCAAAGCATGGCATGCAGCATGTGGCCCCATTGCATAATTACCTTGTATGTCCTTAATTTTCAATTGCAAAAGTGTACACCTAGAGTCCTAGCAGTGATTGTGAATCATTTATACCTCTTATGTTAATCTCGAAAATTGTGTAAATATAATTAGTACTATACAATTAAAAGATATTATTCTATTATTATTAATAATATTATCATTGTTCTTATTTATTATTTTTTTTATATGATTTGGCATTTTGTGTGTTACTGTTGATTCAAGTACCCTTTTGCTGTGAAATAATGGGAATCGCAGTTTATGCCTTGAGCATATCAATCTCATAAAACAAGAACCTAATGTTTCACAAACTAATATTTTTTTAATCCAATAATTTTTACTAATTATTTCGCATCTCTCTCATTAATAGTCCTAGTAATCCGTGTACTAGTTTTATAGGTTTTATAATAATGGAGTGTTCTGTTCGTTTGGGCTTTGTCGAAGCATTCTTCCGCGTTAACATCTAAGCAATGTCCCCATAACGTTTGCTAAATGACAAAATCTACATTCCAATTAGATTTTAGCTCTGCGCAGCTTGAAATTTATGTTTCTACTTTCACTTTCTATATATCCAAACTTGCACTTAAATCAATGAATATATATATAAAAAAAACTCCATTATTCTTAAGTGTGAGTTATTAATGGGGATAATAACTAGCATAAGGTGGCCCTCAAAATAATACAATTCTTTGTGATTATAAATAGACAGCTCACGTTATTTTAGTAAACCTAACCTACTGTTTTCTGAACTATTTTGCTTCTCTGCCAAAAATTAGAGAATATTTTTAAAATCCCAAGTAAATGCTTAAGATCTATGGGCACTGGCAAGGCACAGTATTTTTGCAATAATAAGAAAAAATGCACTAAATTAATCCTGAATGTCTCCTAATTAGGCACTCATGCCAAAGCACTTGAGCTGGCTAATGTCTGCCCTTGTTTAATTAGACCTTGTCGGTCTGTCATGTACCAAATAGCAAGGGACTTTTTTAGCATGATTGCCAAAATTGTGTGTCTCACGAGCATGCCACCTCTCTCCATTAAACTTTGCCTTAGGATCAGTATCTCAGTGTGTCAGTTCTGCAGAGAGATCTCAATCCCATATTACCAATTATTTCGTAACAAATATCAAATCATATTAGTTAAGTTGACACGTAAAAATTGAGCAGAATATGTATTTGACGAGAATAGATTTTTTCGTCTAAAAAAATAATTATGTGATCATGTTATTTGATCACAATCATTTATTGATGATGAGATAAGAGAGAGAAAAGTGTATAATTTTTAAATGAGTAATTGTGATTAAATAATATGATCATATGACCACTTTTTCACATGAGAAGATCTATTTCCGTATTTGATCCTTTTCAATATTATTTTTGAAATAGATTTAAAGACTTAATTCTTAATCTGGCCGGAACAAAATTATCTCCTATAAAAAATATTTGAAATTTATCCAATTTTTTTATCTCATAATATATATAATATTTAAAATAACTATTTATAAAGGGAAAATAGTTTATCCTTTTAAATGACACAACTGATATCCTTTCACTCTCACAAAGAAGTGAGACCCACACATTTATTTTTTTTGTCAACTCTCTCCTTTTTTATCTATCTCTTTCTCTCTCTTAAAATGACACAACTTTACATCTTTTAAAATGAGACACACTTTTCTCATTTATAAAATGCTTGTATGTTTTATGTGATTAAGCCATTTTCATTGGCAAGGAAGGAGTGAAGAAGATTAGACATAATCAAATATATAATATGTTATTAACCCATTTGTCTTTAAATTTTTTATTTTCATTTTGTGAATTAGAATAAGAACAGGAATTTTAATGTAATGGATAGAGGTAGCTATAGAAAATATAAGGGCAAGATGGTATATATACTCAAAGCTTTGCTCAACCTCAACAGCACCTAATGTTTGAAATGGGGGTGTATATTAAGAGATAGGACCAATTTTTGAAAAGACCTGTCCCATATTATTTTCTCACAATTAACTTCTCGTCTTCACTAATTAAATTTTCATGTGATGTGCTGATGTAGAGGTTGAGAGTGACCCTAAAATGCTTACTCAAAACTTTGTTGGCTTTTCTCATTCTCTTTCTCTCTTAGTGAGAGGCAGTATCACATGGGAGTACCAATCATGAAGGAAACAAATGAGACAATGGTAGAGGATTTGGTGGAGCCACATTAATGCACAACTCATTTGTAGTTTTCCTATCCGTCAACTCTATAGTATAAGGTTCTTAGAACAAATGTGGAACTCATTCTCTTATTTTTTCATTTTTTTTTTTTTTAGGGTCTAAAATATCTAAAATTCAATTCTCATTCAATAAACAAACATTTGAATTTTTTTATTTTTTATTTTTTATTTTTTTGTTTTGAATACTCGTTTACTAGCTGGAAAAAAAAAAAAACTCACAAAATGGCACTGCCTGAGGGAGATGGCAGCTTAAAATTAACTTTGTTGGTGACACTGGTGACAAACCCAGCTGTGATATATTCTATATTCATTTTAAAAAAACAAAAAAATTATGTAGTTATAGGCCAATCAATCACCGGCTTTCACACCAGAGTTGGGCAACGGCCGGGGACAAGGGAAAATGCAAAATATGAAGGATTATCATACACACGTTAAATAGACTTAGACGACAAATCTATATAATAAGGATATCTGACATCACATCTTAATTTAAAATTTTAAAAAATTAGATTTATGAATTATTTTATTTATATGTATTATTAAATTCATTACTTTCTGATGCGAAACTTTATCATTCACAATTTCACACTTGAATTTTCAATATTTATTCCATTTTATTTTATACTTAATACGAGGAACAAGTACGAAATGAGATTATAATTATATTAACTAAAATAATTTATTTTTTTAATTACCTAAATCATAAATCCATTTTCTTAAAAGGGGATTAAAAATTCTTGTCTTAGTATAGAATGAAGATTGTTACATATATATGCGTTTGCGTTAATTTTCCTTTTGTCCAACTGGGTTGAGAATAATTGTGTACATGCGATTTGAGCTAATAGAAACTACCCTGAAACAATTCAACATACAATGGGATGTGAATCAAATTTTTTTTTTAATTGGTACAAATTTTGCAAATTTCATTGCATAAAACAAATTTAGACTACTGAATTCATAAAAATAAATATAGGAAGTATCTATAAATAATAAGTTGGTCAAATTGTTATTAGCTAATCAATCTGCAAATGCGTAATGCGTAATGCGTTAACCTCCTCCTATAGGATATGCATGAAGGAATTTCTCAATCTATGGGACAACCATTTCTAATTATTCTAATAATATTCTGCCTATATTCTTACGCTTCCTGTCTCATTAATTTTTTTCTTTTTGATAAGTTAGACACTTTCAACCAAAATTTCCGATGCCCAATAGTCCAATTATCCAATCAAATCTCTAGACCCATTAGCACGCCCCAAAGCTCAGCCACAAACATATTACAAACACCAAGATTTTGAACGAAGGTTTGGTTTTAGTCATTTTAACCAAACATTTATACCATTCTTATCAAAGTATCCTTTCATCCCCATCTTCTAGGCCGGAAAATGTCCCTTCCGCTATGATTGATTATATGGAAAAATCCACTTCAATTGTTAAATCACTACTAATAATTACATATGAATCATCCAACATCACTAATAGTAAAAAATATTAATGTTTCTCGTTATTGATAATAATAAAAAACGATTAATATTTTTCATGATGTAGAAGATAACACAAAATGTGTTGAACCCATATGAGAAGAAGAGAGAAAAAGAAAATATGAAACTCATATATTTTTATATATGTATACGGAATAAAATTATTTTATAATATGAGAAATATTAATCCCTAATAAAAACATGTTAGTTTCATATACTAACATTTTAAATAAACTCCATAAATTATTTTTTAATGGGTTTTACGCGTTTTTATTTTATTTTATATTTTTGGCTCTCTTCCTGGATTAGTAAACCTAAAAGTAATGAACAACTACGTTTTTACTTTTGGTCTAACTAGTTTTTCCCATAATCAAATATGTTACCTTGCATACAATTTAATTTATGTGGAATATTGAAACTCCATTTTATTTCCATCAGTTCTTCAAATTTTCTACTAATTTAAATATAAAAATTTGATTACAGATAACTTCCAATTTTCTTATCAAGTTCATTTATCTCTAATTTCAATTAAAACAATAATATCATGCCAAAGTTGTCTTATCGACCAAATAATTTTCTAAAACTTTTCTATATATCAATAGTTTTCTCTCATCTTTGTATTCTACAATAAATGATTAAGACAGTTGAAAAGCTATATAAGAAATTTTGATTCTATAAGGCAAAGAAAAAAGAAAAAGTGAACCCATAAAAAAATAGAAATATTAAAAAAAAAACTATTATCCAGCCAATGATGATGTATTTTAGTTTATTAAAATCGTATTTTGAAATTACGAGGTAGAATTATATTACACCACAATTATCTTTTTCTTTTCTTTTTTGATACATGCACCACAATTATCAACTCGAGGTGCAAATTTAGTACTCGAAAGCTATGATGCACGGACACGGACACGAGACACGATATGACACGTCGACACGTTAATTTTAAAAAATGTCATATTTCGACACATTGGGACACGTTTTGATATTAAATAAATTTTTTAATATATATAATATAATTTATATTTAATACATATAAGAGTCTCTAATAAGTCATATAACCAATCAAATATTTAAATTTCATAACATAAATATAAATATAAATAATTTTTCGTACTTTGTTAATTTTTCATGTCAAATTTCATAACAGAAAAAAATTAATTTATAAATTATTTCTTTTATATTTAGTTAACAAAATAAAATTAAGATTTAAAAAAAAAGTGTCCGAGCGTGTCCGAGTGTTGACCGCGTGTCGAAAAAAGTTGACTGCATGTCGAAGAGTTGACCGCGTGTCCCCAAATGTTGATTGCGTGTCGGACGCGTGTCGGAGCGTGTTTGTGTCAGACACATGTCCGACACGCAAATTTTCCAAAAAGGAGCGTGTCCGTGCTATATAGCTCGAAAGTTGAAATAATTAGTATAGAATCCTTTATTAGTTCGGTATATTTAAAAAGAATCAATTTTTTTGAAAAAAAAAATCAAGAGAATATTTCTTATCTAAATTTACATCCAAAATTTATTTAAATAATAAGTGCATTTTTCAGATAATTAATTAATTTGCACAATTTATTTAGAGATAGCAACTTTGTTACTTTCGAGAATCAAAATTAATTTTGGGATTTACAATCAAACACGTCCATTTAACCTCCGAAATTATTATGGAGTTTTGAAATTAATAATTTAATATCAACCACCGACTGTAATTTTAAAGTACTAAAATGAATTATCTAACAAATATGTGATTCATTTTGGGATTGCCTCTGTAAAAATGATTACAAAAAGGTGAAGAACTTCAAATAAAAAAAATTACACTCTTTAAAATATAACCTCCAAATATAAAGTTATTTTCTCAATACCTAAAGAAAAAATAATTTTATTTTGCCAACTGAATATTATTTAAAATTTGTGTAATGTCAGGTCCAAGGCTTTGGGCCAGAAAGTCCACCAGGCCACAAAAAGAAGCAGTAAGATGTCCTGGACTTCACAGTAGTGTTTCTTCATTTGAGGTCGAATCAAATAAGTTCCTGGAACCCGGTTACGATTGCCTTGCTTCTCACCAGATTGTCTCTGACTTTCAGCAAGAAGACCACTAGAATAGTAATAATATAAAATAACATGCAATTGAACATGGTTTTGAATTTTTGATGAGGGAATTATAATAGCGAAGTAGCACACTCTGCTCTCGACAGAGTGCCTCATAAGTATTGATAAGATACCATAATTTTTTTTAAAAAAAAAAATGCTGGACATTTACATGAAAAATTTGATATTCTTCATATATTCAAGACGGAACAAGTTACAACATTTTCAGAATTCAGAACAACTAGTAGTCAACCTCAAAGTCAAAGGCATATGAAGAATATTCATCCAAAGATATATCAGGAATAATTTTCTTAATATTGTAACTTCGCACTTGCATTATGAAATATTGACATTCTAAACTTAATATGAAGACAGTTAAAGATAGCAAAAAAAAAAAAATTTATATACTAGAGAAGTTAGTATATTCAGGAATAAAAGTGGTTATCACCTTGATTGTCTAACTATTTGTTAAGCCAGGCTAAACTGCCATTAATCCCTTTAAAAATGCAACAGATAACTAAGAGATGATGGCAAATAAGGTGGAGTAAAATCAAACAGACTAGTCAGAGACGTGCACGTCCTAAATGTCAACCTCAACATCATAAAGCAAACTTCTCAGCCTTTCAAAACCAGGGTAATGAACTCCGGATTCCACATAGGTAAAACATCAAATATGAGATGTAGAGGGACACCGATGACACTTTGAAATAAGGATAAGTATGAGATTCGCCCACTAGAAAAATAAGTACAACATACCCATAAAGAACATAAAATCTATTGTTATATACGTATCATTACTCAGAATTGGGAAATATATGCTTAAAACGTGTATTCCACCTAGCCCATGGCGTCTGGTAGAGGAGAATTTTTTTTTCTCCGGAAATCTCGATTTCAAAAATATGATTTTTACCTCCAGTTTACAATAATATCTGAAAATTTAAAATTTAAAAAAATTCAATTTCCCGGAAATCTTAGAAAAAGTCACGTACCAAACGGCCCGTAAGGGTATTCCTGCATAACCATACCTTGTGTCATTTTTGCTTAATGGGGCCACGTTCTTCCAAGAGCCATTTGGACCTTATGCTAATTGATCATTGCTGAGCAGTGATGCACTAGTCATAAACCAATGGCAACTTCCATATGTAAGCTTGCAACCACAAAAAGAAAAACATGTTCACTTTACTTGTAAAGTAGTACATGCACAAGTACTGGAACAGTATTGTTCAAAGCAGCAATGTCAGGTAGTAGATGGATTGAAGGGATAATCCAATTGATCAATCAATAACACAAATTGCAAAATAAATGAGCTATTACTAATAATTTGAAAGAAAGTGAAAGCTTTCCATGGTTAAGTTCAACATCAGAAACTAAACCCTTTTCAGCTTGCAATTTCTACTGCAGTTGTCACCTATTGGTCTTGATGTTTTCTATTTTAGTTTCCTACCCCGCGGGTAAAACTGCTGCTTGTTTCCACCTTGAGACAACTTAAGTTACTATTAGTTTATATATGTGAACATCAGCTTTTCAGTATTATACAAAATACCAATAATAATTATGTCTATCGCAAGGTTCTTCTACCCCATTATACTTAAATTAACATTCCAAAGTTGTGCACTCATAACATTTTAACCATTAACTAGGCTTCAGCATGTTAAACATCTAAGGCGTAGCCTGGGCGAATGAAATAGCAGTGATCATTTGCAAGACATTGATATTGAGACATGCATCAGCATGCAAAAGATATCATAATTGAATAAGCTGAGGTGAAAGTTTGAGGAATCCAATTAGACATTCGAATATCAGGTCACCCCATGGTAGCCACAGGACTCTGAGCATGCATCCTTCCGCAGAACAGATATCTGAGGCTCACAGGTGGCCTGAAATGGAAGAATGCAAGAACTCCACAAGTCTATGGAAGCATTGGCTCACGGAGAGCCGTACTAGAAAAGCCATCCCTTGTCTAGAGCAAGAGAAAGGCGGCAAGCACCAATATCATCTGGAGACATCTGAAAGCAACAGCTATATGCCTCCTATTCAGCCCTGGAAAATGCAGGGGAAGCATCACTAGTATCTGCAAATGACATTGTTTATACTTCCAAATTATGGAGTAGCAGAGACAATAAGTATTACACAAGGTTCGTCTCATATTTTGTTTGTATGTACAAACTTAAAAAGCAAACAAAAACTTCTTTCTAGTTAAAGAGCACTGATATCAATGCAAAACAAATATTTTAAACTCAACTTGGCATGAAATATATAGAAAATACATGAACATAAGTCCCATAAAGCATATAGTCATTGAGCCTCAATGATAAATCAACATTTCTAATATACCACTTAATTTCAAATATCAGTAGACAGATCATGCCTGCCAATTGTCTGCAAAATCTAGAATGTGTAAGATTCCAGAAAGATCCTGGCGAAGTATGTCTACCAGAACAAGCCCAACAGGAATTAAGAGGATAAATGAACAGATTAACAAGAGATCAGAAATGATCACTTATTCACGAAGTTTAGCATATACATTCACATAAAACTATATCACTAAGTCGTAGAACATAAATGAAGGACGAAAATATTCCATCTTTCTTCTTACAGTTGAATGAGGCTAAGAACAAACTGCTAGGAAACTCTATCCGAGGAAAATGTATTTAATTGAAGAGAAAAAAAAAAGTTCCTGTCATCTGAAAGGAATACTGTTTTCAGAAGAAATCAAGTTTCTTAGCTCCATTAAGTGTTCATCATTTGATATGTGGAGCGAAAGACGGAGGTTTGTTATTAATGCTTCTTGTTCCCAACTTAAGGGTCCTGATGCATGCAATGCCTCAATTGTACTACGATAGGCATGCAACTCTAACCTATGAATTTCTGCTGCCAATTCTTCTTGTGTAGGAGGGGAAAAGTTCACTTCCTCATATCCCCTCTGGCAGACAGATTCAGCATCACTACACGGATTGTCTACATCTTCCAAAGGGCCTGCATATACAGGAAATTCCAATTTATAGGAATTCCTGCTAGTGATACTACAACTACCAACAGAGCATGTAACACTATCAGCATGATTTGATTCAAAGTTTTCTCCAAATGAATAACCAACAGCGCCATTTTGTTTCCTCCTCACTATGTCCATATCAGAAATCCCAGTTTTTCTGTTGTTTACAGAAGCAGGTACACATTCTTCAGCAGGAACGTCTCTTCGAAAACTGACACCTTGTACCTGTTTGAGCAGTGTGAGTGGATTTCTAACTGTTGCTTTTTGACATCTTCCTTCAATCTCAATTGCTCTAAACTTTGGGGGAGGTTCAGCATATGTCTCAATTTGTGAATGGCTTCCTCGTTTCAATCTTTTAAAAGAAACAAGATGGGGTTCAAGAATATTCCATTCTTTCTTTTCAGGATGATAATCACTGGAAACTGACAGTTTCATCTTTATAGCTGACTTCTGAAGTTGGGCACTAGGAATTAAATTCTGCCTTGAAATGAGTGTATTGTCACGGTTTCCATTCTCGCAGCTAGCCGAACCCTGAAGATGGGAAAAGAATAAATAACTATTCAACCATAAAACAGCATGGAGGATCCAGAAACAATAATACAAAGAAAACTCATGAAAGCTAAGTAGAATAAAATGAAAAGGGAACTGAAGAAAATTTGAAAGTAAGAAACTGGCAATATTGAAAGCCTGACAAGATAAACAAACTAAGTAAATTCCCAATTTTTTAAATTTTGATTAGTTGGTTTTAGAAAACAGAATATATTGAATAAATGAAATTTCAAAAGCTCTATCAAAACCAACTTAACACAATATGTGTAACCACATCCACATCTGCACAGCCAATAACACTTGGCAATGGCTAAGTAATGCCAAAGCAGTAACCAATTGGCTAAACAGAAAGAAAGAACGAAACAAGAATTGCGAGAAAACACTCTTCTCTTTTCTTAATTTTATTTAACCAAAAATAACCTAATAATAATAGTGTTCTCCAAGTCTTAAATAGGCAAAATAAAATAACAAAAAAGTAAAGGACTATAATCATGCGCAATCAAAGGAAATAACGCACAATAAACGCACACTCAAACATAATCTAAAAATAACAAAAAGGAAAATAATTAACAATTATTGAAAAGCCCTAAACTATGGAATAAATTATAGAAAATCCCAATCCAAGTCAGTCACCCAGATGCATCACTAAGGAAGAAGAAAGAAACAAAAAGATTCAGAAGAAAAAATAAAGGTACCTTTCCAACCACAATCCATTTGTCATCTTGCCAAGACTGTCTCACCCGGATGTCAGATTTGCTCACTTGAAATTCCAAAGAAGATCCAAGTAGCCTTACCAAAATGTGCTTTTTCCCCAAAACCTTCAAAACTGTAGCCATCCTCCAAGAGAAATTCTGGAAGACCTCTACAACATCACTTGGACTCCAATTCTCTGCGAGTTCAAGTGCAGGCGGACATGGCCTTATGGCTTTCCTGGAAACCCGCTCCACAATTGCCTCACCAGCAGCACCTTGATATCCATCATATCTAATAGTGTAGTTGTGGCCATTACCATAGACGATCTCTGCACATCGCCAGGAGCCAGAAGGCACCTCAGCTTTGCTCAGTACTTCCACCTTAGTCCCTTTCTTGAATCTCATAATTGCTAATATATTGCAGTGAAATTTCAACCCGAACACCTGCAGTTCAATAATAAATCAAAATAAAGAACAAGACAAAGTTTATAATTTTTGTGCAGATAGTTGTCAGCTACACAGAATTCAGGCCCATTGGACATGGAATGGATGACGATAGCAATCAATAGATAGACAAATAAACAGAAGAGAAACCAGATAACAGGTAAAGGTGATAACAAAAACATTATTCTGGAGCTCGTACATTGAATTAATTTAGATCTTGACCAAAAACAACAACAACTAGTTTTGAGGCCATCATAAAGTGGGAAACTTTGATCAGAAAAAAAAAAAAAAAAACAAGCAGAGAACCTTACAAAGTTAAATACAGAACTCGTTGCAAGTTTATGTTCAAAATAGACGACGAATAAATAACAGTATAATTTAAAACAAAATAAAATAAAATAACGAAAAGATACACACGCACGAACGCAAACACAAACCAACCAATCAGTCATGACAAAGTGCTATTGATCAGAACAAGAACAAATGCCATTAAACCGATTTAACCTCATTTGAATGCTTACCCCGATCGACTAGTGCTTTACGTCAGTGATTTGCTGAGTTTCAAGGTTCTTTCTTTCTGTTATTTTGGTCTCTCTTTTTTTCTCTCTCTATATTTTATTTTTCGAAGATATTATAAGGAAAAAAAAAAAAACTAATTATTACTGAATCAGGTAATAACAAAAAACAGATAGGAAAATTCTGTTTATGTTTCCTCCATTTTCTCAGCAACCAAACAAAGAGCAAAAGAACCAACAAATCGTGCAGAAATTTGAAATTGAAAGTTCATTGATAAAATTAAAAAGAAAAAAAGAAACAATAATTCAATAATTAAGCGGAGGAATGAATAACAGAGAAACTGAATTAGTACATGAAACGGCAGCGTGAGAAGATGGAATTTGTAAGAAAGGAAGAGAAGAAAAATCACTGACCTTGTTCCGATTCAGAAGACGATCTTTTCGTCTCTGTGATTTTCACTCTCTCCTTGTTATTGTGATTGCTTGCGGTTGTTGTATAATTATTTACTTTTTTTCTTCCTTTTTTGTTTTTATTTGCATAATTATCATACTCATTGTGTGTTTCCTATAAATTTATTTAAAATGGAATTAATTATATTTTTAATCTACAAAGCTGAATTTTCATTGCCAAGCTGGCCAACTTCCCAAGAATAGATTGTTGAGGTGGGAATTATCTGTTACAATCTTATTGTAAACATTCCTTGTGTCATGTGTCCTCCCTCTTTTTCTTGGTTGTGTAGCTCAAAAAATAGAGATATTCATAAATATATATTTAAAATGGGTGCATCAGATATCTTTTTACATGATATTCCATGACTGATTTTTAACTATATATTTTCGATAGTACATAATTATATATTAGAATTATTTTTTTTAAATATATATTTTCAGAAATATATAACTAAAAAATGATTATAAGAAAATATAAGTAAATTTTTATAAAACTTTTTTCTCTTGTTTACTTTTCTAACTTTCAAATTTGAATTTCAAAAGAATACCGAACTCGCTCTATCTTTATCTCCATCTCTTTTACTCTATTAATATCCTCTATTTTTGGTTAAAAAAGGAAGGAATCCTTCATTTAAATTTATTAATGGAGATTTTAAAGCGCTAAAAAAAGTAAAAATAAAAGTTGTAAATTCAGATATGATAAGAGGATCAGGGGGATTCTTAATCTCATCATTATTTGAGGGGGTTATTTTTACATGAATGTTGTGAGTATAGTTTGACCAAAGATTCAAAAAAAATATAAAAATAGTTATTATTTAGCTGTTCAAAAAAAGAAAAAAAAAATCAAACATGATAACCTTTCCTTGTCATATAAGAGTATTTTAGGCATGAAATTAGTTGCTACTAAGCCAATATCTTTATTGATATATAGGAGTAAGTGTATATTTGTTTTAGTTTATTTCAAAAAAAAATATATTTTAAGCTCTCTTTAAAAACAGTTGAGGTAAAGAAATAATTAATTTTGTTATCAAAAAAAAAAAAAAAAAAAGAAATAATTAATTTAGTGCATTAAAAATCAGAGTTTAAACTGGATTACGATAAAATATGCACCTCATAAACTGAATTTTGAGAATAACACCAGTGAAAAACAAAACAAATTAAACAAAGAAAAAAAAACATTTTATAAAGAGACGAATAATTTAACTCTTAAATAAATTAGAGAAATATTATATTTATGGGATAGGATATTGTGACACACAAATAATACTACGCACAATGTTACGACCATATCTTAACCGTTGATTTCCGTCAATCAACGGTTATCATTTTTCAAATCAAACTCATTAATTAATTATTAATTCGCAATAAATGATAACCATTGATTGGCGGAAATCAACGGTTAAGATGTGATCGTAATATTGTGTGTAACATTATTTGTGTGTCACAATATCCTATCCCTATATTTATAACCTATTTTCGTTTACAACCATATCTTAACAGTTGATTTTCGTCAATCAACAATTATTATTTATTACGAATGAATAATTAATTAATGAATTTAATTTGAGAAAATAATAATCATTGATTGACGAAAATCAAATCAACAGTTAAGATATGATTATAAGAAGTTATAAATAAAAATAAATTATAAGTGTAACCTTCCTCAATAAATTATACCTAATTATATGAAAGTCATAAAGCCCATATTTGTGGGGTTTGCTGCAAGTTCATGCTCAATATTTGGCATTGAAAGCTATCATCTCCACAATAATGGAATCATTCGTTTATTTATTTTAGTATTATAAATATTTAACAGTATTTGAGTTAATTTATATTAAAGTTTCGATTAGTCTTTCAACCTGCTATTTCTTGTAAGTCATTTAAAATTCAAACGCTCCCAATAGTCCAACAAGCCTGATACATTTTTTATTTACGTATTCTAATATCTATACTAATCCAATTCTACATCTTTCTTACAATTTATTTACTGTTCTAAGTATTTCATTCGTTTGGTTTCGTTTGAATTGGTATATAAATAAACGGTTTTATTAATCGATAAGTTATCTCATGTCATAGAGACAAACATGTGGGCTCTACCACCTGAAAATAGGCAAAAAAATTAAAATATTACACTTTTAATAATTAATTATGAATTGGTAGCAGTTGGAAACTATTTTCGAATTTATTGCAGTCATTCACGTCCAAATTAGGCGTGACTCGTCTGGTGTTGACACGTGGCACAAAAAATTAATAGTTTAATCGTAAAATTTTATAAAGCCATAACTTTTGACTCGGGTATCCGAATGAGGTAATTCTTTTTTTGATTCCACATAAATTTTTGAGATCTACGCAATGACATCTTATTTGATATATTTTATCTCTCACAAACACAATTCAAATTTACAACAATAATACTATAAAGATGGCACTAAAGTGGATTAACTCATCTATAAATAAGTTGGCACCAAATTTCCTATTAAATACAAAACGCAATCAGCTCCTATTAAATACAAAACGCAATCAACTCCTTTAACATTAAATTCAAAATTCAAATAACCACCAGCAAATTTATTTGAATTGACGACAATCTGTAACCAACTCATAAAAGTACAACGCAATCAGCTCCTATTAAATACAAAACACAATGAACTCCTGTTAAATACAAAATGCAATCAACTTATTGCAGGTTATTTGAATTTTGAATTTTAAATTTAATGTTATAGTACCATTATTGGGCGTGAATGAGTACAATATATTCGTAATTAGGTTCAAAACGGCAACTTATTCGCAATTATTTATTAAAAAAGCAATATTTTAATTTTTTTTGCTTCTACCAAGTGTTTGAAAAAAAATAGTGTACAAGGTTATTTATTTAATTATTAAAATATATACAAATTTATATAATATTCTACCAAGTGTTTAGAGTATTTATTTAATTATTTTCTTTATTAATAAAGATTTTTAAAATTGATTTTTGAGTTTAAATCACAAATTAAATCTTTATTTTTTTTCTTATTAATAATAATTTTTAAATTTTTTTTTGGTAATACACTATATAATACAATTAGTGCAAGTTTAAATTATGTTTGTGAGAGATAAAATATATCAAATGAGATGTCATTGCGTAGATCTCGAAAAGTTATGTGGAATCAAAAAAAGAATTACCTCATTCGGATACCCGAGTCAAAAGTTATGGCTTTCCAAAGTTTTACAGTTCATAAGTTGACTTTTTTTTGTCACGTGTCAACACCAGATGATTCACGCCTAAATTAGGCGTGAATGCCTTGGGAGTCACGCCTATTTTGGGCGTGATTAGTCACGCCTATTTTGGACGTAAATGACTGCAATAAATTCGAAAATAGTTTCCAAACTGCTACCAATTCGTAATTAATTATTAAAAGTATAATATTTTAATTTTTTTGCCCCTGAAAATATAAAAAGAAAAGAAAAGAAAAATATAGCATAGTTATCGAAAGATGTGTAGAAGGAAAAACTTATCTCATGTAGCATGAGAATAGTTTTTCCCATAAATAAAAGAGTGAAATAGAACGTCACCATTGACGAGTTATATTAGTTTATATTTCTCAAAATTTATTTGAAATGAAATGAAATGTGTTAGAGTGTATTTCTTACCAGTTCTATCACTTTTTCAATAATGACATAGAAATTTTACTGTATTTTATCATACAACATTTAGATAATAATATGATAATTTTATTCAATTTCATTTCATTTTTTCCTTTCTATTCTATACCATTTCTTCTCATTTAAATTCACCTAGTATTGTATTTTTTAAATATACCAATTTTTTAAGAGCTGAGGTCCTATACTCAGGCCATCTTTAATTTATATCCTTTTTAGTCAATTTACCTTTTATCGCTATCGTAAATTCTCTCAAAGTAGACCAACAGTTCTTCACAAAATATGTATAAATCTACAATAATAGTTTAGTATAAGTGTATAACTGTGTTTTTCATTTTTTTTTCTGGTGATACAGTAAAAATAGTTATCCTAATTGTTTTTAGGGTAACTGTTATTAAGTGCTATTTTCGGCACGCCCAATCTATTCTAAGCTCAAAACATATTTTAAAATTTAAATTTATTTAAGAAATTATAAAAATATTACATTGTGGAGAGTAATTATTTACAATTTATTAAGAATTCATGCTCTAAGCTTATAATGAAAAATAATCATTATATAAAAAAAAATTCTTTTATGATTTACAATTTTTTGTTACTTGATGGACAATATCAGGGAAAAGGGAAAACTGTATGTTATGATATAAGTTAAATTGCAATATGGTACCCCAAATAATACCTAACCAGCCATCTTCTTTTTTGCTTAGCAGAAAAAAAGAAAAAGAAAAAACGACATTGCATTTACTATTTGATGAAAACGTGGTCAATTTAGATGGCATATAGAATGGAAGAAAAGAGATAAAAAAATTCACCAGCAGCTATGACTCGAGGCTTTTAGCAACCAACGCTCGCAGATTTCATAGTGTCAACACGCATTCATAGTCAAATATAATGAGCATAAACATTTTAGGAAAATGTTTCTTCTGATGCATACACAAATTAATAATGAGTAAAATTATTACCAAAAACAAAAAATAATAATGAGTAAAATGTTGACTAATAATGTGTATTGATTGTACCAAAGAATAATTAATCGATATATACTATCCACCAATAGTTTACGCATTATTAACAGGTATGGAAGGCATAGAATCTCGAGTACAGAAATAACAAAACTAAATAATTTATGGGAAAAGTATATGTCATCTTAAAGGATGTAAAGTTGTGTTATTTTAAGAGAGAAAAAGAGATAGATAAAGGATGAGAGAGTTGACAAAAAAATAAAGGTATAGGTCTCATATCTTTGTGAGAGTGAAATGATATAACTTGTGTCATTTAAAAGAATAAACATTTTTCCCATAATTTATATGTTATTTTAAGCTCATTGTTAAGCACTTTCTAAGGCATTTGAGCTCTATATATATGGGGTTGCATTTTCTCATGCAACATGAGAGGAGCTTTTCTACTACACATACAACCAAGTGGGCCCATTAATTTAAAAAAAAAAAGAAAAAGATAAAAAATATTAACACGAAAATCGAGCTCTCACTAACATGAGAGGAACTTTGTTCCTACCACATGAGATTTATTTATCCCTATATATATATAAAGTGGATCAACAATGACTGCACCTAAAAATTGGTGTAGTTACACTATGTACTACGAGTAGTACATATTGTATTTCAGAAATTAAATATTTAAACAGGCTGTAGATTATTTCTAAAGAGAAAAAAAACCATGTACTATCCGTAGTACATAATTATAATTTTTTGACATTACCAAACCTTATATACAGTGACATTATACATTATTTTCCATATATATAGGGTTCATTTTTTCTGCAATCACTGCAGATAAGTTTTCTGCAGTAAGTCCAATACAACGTCATTTTGGGGTGGAAATCATGGAATTTTTGTAATTTTAATTTATTTCAGGGTTATTATAGTCTTTATAATTATTTTTTTAATCTTTCAATCTCAAAACGACGTCGTTTTGGTAATAAAAGCTGATAACTTATCTGCATTAACTGCAGAAATATTTTTCTGATATATATATATATGATAAAATCATTTCTACAGCCACTTTATGTACAACAATGACAAATGTATGATTATGATTTCCCACATTTACTACTTTCTTCTTTTGTATGGTTATGATTCTCCACATTTAATACTTTCACGTGTATATATGGCATGTATTTGACTATTGCACGTACAGCAGCTGCAGAAATGTAAAGCCCTATATATATATGGGTTCGCTTTTTCTGCAGTTAATGTAGATAAGTTATCTGCAGTAAACCCAATATGACGTCGTTTTGGGACGAAAATCATGGTATTTTTGTAATTTTAATTTATTTTAGGGTTATAATTGTCTTTATATTTATAATTTTTTAAGATTTCAATACCAAAACGACGTCGTTTTGGAAATAAATGCAGATAATTTATTTGCAGTAACTGCAAAAACATTTTTCCCTATATATATATATATATATATATATATATATGGAAAATATTTCTCCGACAATTTGAGATAAGTTTATCTCCGGCCACTCCAAAACTATGTCGTTTTTTTATTTATTTTCTTATATTAATTGATTTACCTTTGAATGGTTATGATTCCCTTTTTCTCTCTCTTCCTTTATCACCATTGATCCATCTTTGTATGGTTATAATTTAGTAGTCGGAGATAAAATTATCTCAAACAGTTTGAGAAACGATAAGCCCATATATATATAGGTAAAATCATTTCTGCAGCCGCTTTACGTACAACAACGATAGATGTATGGTTATGATTCCCCACATTTAATGCTTTCATCCTTTGTATGGTTATGATTCCCCACATTTAATGCTTTTAAATATATGTGTGGCAAGTATTTGATTGTTGCACGTACAGCAGCTGCAGAAATGTAAACCCCATATATATATATATGGTAAAATAATTTTTGCAGCCGCTTTACGTACAACGACAGGTGTATGGTTATGATTCCCCACATTTAATGCTTTCATATTTTGTATGGTTATGATTCTCCGCATTTAATGCTTTCACATATATATATAGCAAGTATGTGATTGTCGCACGTACAGGAGAATTATATATTTAAAAGCATATAATGTGGGGAATCATAACCATACACCTGTCGTTGTTGTACGTAAAGCGGCTGCAGAATTGATTTTACCATATAATAAAAAATATGGTTGTCATGCACACCACCCTATGTTGTAGGAAAAATGATTGTGTAATGTTATAGAGATTCATTATGCGCGCCGTAGTTTTTTTTTTGGCTTCAAAAAGTGTGGGTCCCACAAAATGTTGTGTGTGTAGGAAACTTTTTTGTTTCATGTGAAATGATAAATGCAAATCCCTATCATATATATATATATATATGAAAAAGTATTTCTACAGCTACTTTAGATAACATTATCTACAGCTATCATTTCTTAACTAAGTATGACCAGTAAGACATGGTTATAACTTATAACAATAAAAGTTGATCTTTTTTTCTGTTTCATTTTCTCTCTCTCCTCAAACGTGGCGAAGAAAGAAAGTGCAATTTTTATGTCTTACCGGTCAGATTTAGTTAAAAGGGTAGCTATAGACAATCTAACCTAAAATACAATTTGTAATGTTTGCAAATTACACTAGGTACTCCCAGAAGTATATAAGGTGGTGTGCATGACAACCATTCTATTCCTTAGCACTGTTTCTGAAAAGAAATAATTCTTTTCTATTTCTGTGCCTTGGAACAGTTTCTGAGAAAAAAAATGTGTTTGATAACATGTTCTATTATTATTCTGAGAATGAGAATTGTGTTTGATAACAACAAATAATATAATAAAAAATAATTCCTATTAAATATAAAAAAAATTCGGATCAACTCTTTCCTTTCCATATGGTGTGGTTGTAGTGGTGGTGGCAGTGACATGGTGAAGATAATGGTGGTGGTTGTGACTGCAGTGGCTGCGACGATGGCAGTGGTAATGGTGGCAGCGGCGATGGTAGTGGTGGGGATGGTGGTGGAGGAGGTGACGACAATGACAGCGACAATGGTGGTGGGTATGGTGGTTGGTGGCGGCAACAATGGTAGCAGTGACATGGTGGTGGTGGTGGTTGTGAAGGCATCACGATGGTGGTGGTGGCAGTGGCTGCAGCGATGGTGGTAGTTGACAGTGGTGGTGGTGGTGGTGGCTTGGTGATGGTAGTGGTGGTGTTGGTGTAATAGTGGCGATGGTGGCGGTAATGGCTGTGACGATGGTGGTGATGGTTGGCGGCGGCGACAACGACGACGGTGGTGGAGACGGTAGTGGTTGCGGCAATGGTAGTGGTGGTCGATGACAGTGGTGGTGATGGTAGTGGTGGCATCATGGTGGTGGTAGTGATGGCGAGGAGGGTGGTGGCACTGGCGTGTGAAGGCGATGGTGGCGGTGACGGCAGTGGTTGCGATGATGGTGGTGGTGACGGTGGCAGCGATGATAGTTGTGGTGGTGATGACGGTGGCATGGTGGTAGTGATGGGTGGAGGTGATGGTAATGGTGGCGGTGACATCATGGTGGTGAGGGGTGGTGACAACGGCGGTAGTTGTGGTGGTGATGACGGTGGCATGGTGGTAGTGATGGGTGGAGGTGGTGGTAATGGTGGCGGCGACATCATGGTGGTGAGGGGTGGTGACGACGGCACTAGTGGTACGATGGCGGCGGCGACGATGGTGGCGACAGTCGTGTCGGGATGATGGTGGTGGTGGTGATGATGGTAAAGGTGGAGAGTAATTGAGAGAGATAAGTGTTTCTCATTTTGTGCACAGGAACAAAAAAACAGAAATTTTTTGATTCTTTTTTTTATTCTCCAGCACAAAAATTAAACTGGTTCATCTTGAAAAAAATAAATAAACCGATTTTACCAAACGAGTTTCCTATCCATTTCTGTTCTCGGGAACAAAAATTAAAAAAGAATTGATTTCGGGAAGGTTGTCATGCACACCCATAGTGTAACCTAGTGTACTTTCGGTAGTACATAGTGTAGTTTGTAAACAAAAAATTTATAAATATAACATTATATATATATATATATATATATATATATATGCTTATCATTTCTCAAGTTGCTTGAGATAACTTTATCTCCGGCTATTAAATCATAACCATATAAAGATGAATCAATGGTGATAAAGAAAGAGGAAATCATAACCATTCAAAGGTGAATCAATAAATATAAGGAAATAAATAAACAAAATGACGTAGTTTTGGGCTAGCCGGAGATAAATATATCTCAAGCAATTTGGAAATATTTCTCTCTCTCTCTCTCTCTATATATATATATATATATATATATATATATATATGGTTTTGTTCGTATTTGGATCCTCTCTTTTTAAGCTAGAAGCTACTTATAAACATAAGATAGGCCAAATAGATTTTGGGAAAAGCTTTTATAATGAATTTTTTTTTATAATAAAAAAAAGCTGAAAGCTAAAAGCTCCTAAGAGGAGTTTTTTTTTAAACTCTTATATACTTTTCTTGAATTGTGTATTTTTTTTAAAATGAAGAATTATAACGATAGAGAAAGATAATTTTCTTAAAATATGTGTTTTTAAGTAATTTTTAAACTACAATTTTTATATAGTTATCAAATAGTTTTTAAGTTGTTTTCAAGCTCTCTTCTTTTAGCTTTAGCAACGTCTAGCTTTAAAAAAAAAAAAAGAACTAAACAGGCTTTTAGTGTGGCCTGTGTGCTTTAACTCATTTAACGAATTAAAAATTCTACATCTTACTTACAGTGTAGGGTTTGAAACCAAATAATAATAATAAAAAAAAACTTATTCAATACAAGTAGACACTAAAAGCAAAAATTAAACCTACTACCAACAAAGCCCAGCACAGTTAGTAGATAGTTGGGTTTCTTAAACATGCTGATAGGGGTTCGATTCCTGGCCGTGTGTATGGAGAAGTCTTTATTGGGAGAGATTTGATCTCCCGCCTCAAAAGGATCAGTCTTCAGCTGTCGGCTGGAGGATACCTTGAGAAACCAAAAATTAGACCTAGTGTACAAACAGATCTTAAAAAATAAATGAAGAATATTCGTCGATCTTTATTGAGATTAATCTTAACCATTAGCATTGACTAATATTACATATTTTGTTATCAATAATTTAAATGCATATCGTGAATCAAAATTCACGAAAAAGCTAGCCTAATACCCTTCCCAATTTCTGTTTGTAAATTGATATCTTAATTTGCATCTATCTTCAAAGTAATTTATCCTTTAATATTAAGTTCTTACTATATTAATCCTTTAAAGAATTTTCTTATCCAATTAGCCATTCAAAAAACTAGGTATTTTCACATAATCCATCAAAAAATTTAGTCACTATTAAAAATATAAACTGTCACAAAATTTGTTTCTTATCACCAATTTAGTCTTTCATAAAGATGAATATGGTAATATTTTAATCTTTGAGGAACTAATTTGTTGACAATTTATATGTACTAATAAGATAAAACACTAATATTTTAAAACATTAATTTGACTATAAAATATTTTAAAAGACTAATTTAGTTACACAATAAATTTTAAAGGATGAAGTAGAAAATTTATTCTTTTATTATTTAATTTATTACATCATTGTCAATTTGCATGGCAAAAGTAATAAGCTCTAGTTTGAAAATAATATATTAGAAGATTCAATGGAAGACACTATATTTACCAAACTAGTTCTTAGAGGTGTCTATGTATTTTTATGAGCCATTCAACATATAAGCAATTCAATTTTGAAAGAGAAATTTGCGTACATATGTAACAAAAATAATTTTATTTGACCATGGACGAGAATCAAGACATCCTTCTCAATCAAAAGGTTCTTAATTATTGCATCAATTTTGAGGTACTGTTGTATCCAAAAATAAAAAATTTGAGGTAGTGTTACATTCAATCCACAGATTTCCCCTCCTTTCCCGTCCCCACCATTCATGAACCAAATACCCTTCGCTGCCACACATTTTGTTACAATTCATCCTCTTCTATTCTCTCCAAACATTTGAGGTCAGTATATAATAAAATAACTTAAAAAACCTAATCCTCTTATTATCCCACCTAAAAATCCCTCCCCAGAGGTCTATATATATAGGATTAATTTACATCAGTATAAGAATAATAAGTGTTACACTAAGTCTTAACCGTTAATTTTAGTGCATCTAACGGTTGAGATTATTGGGAATTAATAAATAATTAGTGAGTGAGACCCAATAAATTTCAACCGTTAGATGTACGAGAATCAACGGTTAAGATTTGGTGTAAGATTTATTGTTCTTACACCGGTGTAAGAAGATCTTGCTCTATATATATATATATATATATATATATATATATATATAGAGTAAATACCCTTTTCGATGCTTAGCAAATTTCATGATGCCCGTTTTAGTCCCTAGCAAATAAAAAGGCTATTCGTGGTCCCTAAGAAATTCAAAGTGAACCCATTTTAGTCATTTTGAGGGACTAATGTGGGTCTTTTTTGAATTTGTGAGGGACCACGATTTCAACTAAATGGGTCCATTTTTAATTTCTTAAAGACCACGAATAGCCTTTTTATTTGTTAGGGACTAAAGTGGGCATCGTGAAATTTGCTGAGGACCAAAAAATGTATTTATACACACACACACACATATATATATATATCTTCATATTTTTGTAGTCAATATAGATAAATTATCTACATTGAGCACAAAATAATATCATTTTGGGACAAACATTAAGCTATTTTTGTAATTATAATTTATTTCAGGGTTAAATAGTCTTTCTCGTTATAATTTTTTAATCTTTCAACTTAAAAGAACGTTATTTTGAGAGTGAATGTAGATAACTTATTTACATTCACTGTAGAAACATTAAAGTCTATACATATATGAAAAAAGTATTTCCACAGCCACTTTAGATAACATTATCTACATCTATCCCTTTTTTAATTAAGTCTGACCAGTAAGACATAGCTATAACAATAAAACTGTTCTTTTTTTATCCCCTCAGACATTGTTGGCTGACGTGGCAGAGAGAGAAAATGCAATTTTTATGTCTTAGTGGTCAGACTTAGTTAAAAAGGGATAACTGTAGACAACCTTATCTAAAGTGGCTGTAAAAATGTTTAACCATATATATATATATATATATATATATATATATATATATATATATATATATAAGGGTAAGATATTTTAACAACCAATTAGTGTTACTACCAATCAATTTCACCGTTAGATCGATTATGTTAATCCAACAGTTATATTTATTTCCACCTTTGTATGGTCATGATTTCCTATATTTAATGTGAAAGCATTAAATATAGGAAATCATGACCATACAAAGGTGAAAATAAATATAAAGTATTAAATATGGGGAATCATAACCATACAAAGATGAAAATAAATATAACCGTTGGATCCATATAATCGATCTAACGGTGAAATTGATTGGTAGTAACACTGATTGGTTGTTACAATATCCTTCCCCATATATATATATATATATATATATATATATATATATATATATATAGGTTTACATATATGACCATACAAAGGTGAAAATATTAAATATGGGGAATCATAACCATGATGAAAATAAATATAACCGTTGGATCCATATAATCGATACTTGCCATCCCCATATATATATATATATATATATATATATATATGAGGTTTACATTTCTGCAACTATTGTACGTGCAGCAATCAAATACTTGCCATATATATACTTCAAAGTATTAAATGCGGGGAATCACAACCATACAAAGAATGAAAGCATTAAATGTGGGGAATCATAACCATACACTTTTTGTATGGTTATGATTTCCGACATTAAATGTTTTAACCTATATATATAGAAAATTTGTTACTGCTGCACGTAAAGCGACTGTAGAAAAATATTGAGAATGATTTGTCATTTGACTGGATCTAAGGTTTGGTCAGGTCAAAAAATTATAAGTATGTACTACGGGTAGTACATAGTTATAATATTAAAGTTGTATTTTTTTCTTCCTATTCAGAAATTTAACTATGCACTACGGGTGTACATAGTTATAATATTAAAGTTATTTTTTTCTCTCTCCTACGTCATCCAATATTTGGTGTCCAGTCCCTGGATATAAGGTTTTATCTAGTCACCGTATTATAACTATATACTCTGGGAATACATAGTTATAATGTTAAAGTTGTACTTTTTTCGCTCTCTTCATAAACTTGTCTGCTGACGTAGAAAGTGAAAAAAATAAAAATTTAATATTATATCAAAGTATTCTCCGAAATTTAAAGTCATAATGCAATGACTGAACAAAACCTTATATTCAATGATTGAACACCAGATGGACCCATAAATATCACTACAAAAAAATAAGCAATTTTTGGGGGTCATTTAGTGGAGTTCAATTTTGACCTCCAGTAAATGATGTAAATTTTAGCATCTTTTTTGAACGCCACAATGTTAAAATAATTTTAGCGTCTTATATCCTTTCGGTGGCAGTTACAAATGTCAAAAATTTTGTAATTTTTATTTTTATTTTCTAGCGTTCTTGGACCTGCACAAATATAAAACTTTTTTTAGGATTTTATTCAAAAATATCCTAAATTACTTTAAATGATTTTACTTCTTCAAAAAAAATAAGCTAAGGCTTTTGGGGACTCAACTTTTTCGAAGGCGAGCTAAATAGCAAACCCTATCAGCTACTTTACACTGTGGTTGAAGGTTCTGATGATTGTATCTTCTATTTTCTGTACTTTCTCAGAGGTATGTTCTTTTTTCCTCTTCTCTCTTCTATCCTTCTTGCGCCACAATCTTCGGTGGCTTCTCTTCCATTGGTGTTGTCATTTCCACCTTGGTCTTCTGCTCATTGGTAAAGTTTTCAGCAACCTGAACACACACACACACACATATATATATATATATATATATACTTTACATAGATTGTTGTAAAGTTTTGTTCCACATTGGTAAAGTTTCTCCGATTTGATACATGCATGAAAGAGAGAAGAGGATTGTATTTTGGATATGCTTCTTTTCATTGTTGTTCAAGATTTGTGTTAGCCTACACTATCGTATTCTGTAATCACTAGTTAGTTATGGTTACTTGGTTTAATTGCTATTTTTTTTTTGTAAATTAATTGCTATTTTTTTAGTTAATTTATTTTCTAATTTATAGCATAATGATAGAGTCGGTGCCATATTTGGATGGTTAGAAAATGCTAGAAATGGTATTATTCAAAAAAAAAAGAAAATGCTAGAAATGGAATTCGAGTTTAAACTTTTGCGATTTGAACTGGAAATCTCTTGAGAACTTGGCCAATGGACGAACTTTTGTGTTCTAGATCTTCAACTTTGTGTTTGTCTCGTTTATTTATTTTTATTTTGTTAATTATTTTGGCGATTTTATTGTGATGTTTGTTACTGGAGAAATTGTAGTATAAGATACCTTTGGAGTTTGATAAACTGCCGTTGAAATCATTTCTTGCTAGCATTGTTGTCGTTGCCAATGCTTATTTAGTGGCTCTGCTTTTAATAAATGGTGTTTTGGATTATGATGAGTTTGAATTTGATGTGTTCGGGTTGCAAATAGCTTGTAACAGCTTCATTTTGCGTGATTTTGCTTTGCTTGTTATGTGCTTGGTAATGGTAGAGAAGCTGCACATTGTGTTCCTTGTTATGTGCTTTGCTTTCTCTCTGAAAGTTGAAGTGAGTGAGGGTTGAGAGAGAATGGGAAATATGATTTTGAGGAACAAGATTTGTGTGTGTTGTGTTTTTTTTTTTTTTAGTGAGAGAGATAAAGTGTGAAAAGGTTCAATGAGATGGAAAAGGAAAAAAAGTGGAGAAAGGGAGATAGTAAAATTCAGGTAATGGTGGATCCAGCTAAGGTTCTGTCTTTTTATTGTGCTTTGTATTTATTTTGACTTTCCACCCTTAATATTATTGCTTTATGTGATCTCAATCAGTCATTGTCCTTTTTTTCTCTAGCTTGTTATTATGTGATATTTTTAACTTTTTAACTAGTTTTTAGAGGAAAGTTTTGTGTTGTTGATCTTTAAAATATTTGACAGATATAGTTCTTTTGAAAAAAATTGTTACTGAAATTCCTCAAATAATCACAAACTACCGAGAGAGAAAAATCTACTGATGGTCTCTCTGTTGCTTTCTTGTTGACATGGATAATCGGGTGAATTGAGTTTTTTTTTTTTTGAAACTTTCTAAGGGCTGTTTTCTTTCTTTCTTTTTCTTTTTCTATTCTTTTTATCAAAGCTTTTTTAGGTTTCAGTCTGAGTAAGTGGACTGCTATGAATTCAATCTGAGATTGTTCAAACCTTTTTTTTTCAATGTTGATGTTCTTATTGATTGGGAAAAGAAAAATATTATACATTAGTGCCACCAATAACCCATAGTTTTTCGGCTTCTCTAGAGTAGTGACAATTAATAAAATAATCAACTTGTCAAAAGAAAGAAATATCAATTTGTGGGCTAAGGATCCGCGTGACAGTAATATAACATCTGATTTTGTTATATCTGCATTAACCTATCTTCCTCATTACATGGCTTCTCTTTTCTTTTTTCTTTTTCTTTCTGATTTTGTTATATCTGCATTAAGGTCTTGCCATGTCCAATATTTTGATACTATTTTGTTTTGCAGAGATCTATTCAACCTCTTTGGATGCTTACTGGAACCTGCTACTGTGAGTCTTAAATATTCTATGTAGCCTTTCTTTTAGATTCTGTAAAGTTTGCTTCAACTTTTTCTTGTTATTTACATTCCCATCACAGTACTATTGAACAAAATCCAAAGATCAAAGCAAGTTTAGGAGACTAGGAGAGGACATTAGCTATATAACTCAATTCATACTTGAAACAACAAATTTTTTATAACCAAACTATATGTTCTAGAAAAAATTAAGTTTATTAAAGGTTTCTTAGATGATGCCTTTTTTTTTTAGCCTTAGATTTTGAAGTGAAGAAATTACTTGAAAAAGCCTAAAAATTCTGGCTTCACCTTGACACCCCTTAAAATTCTATAGCTTTTATAGCTTTCTTTGTTTCTATTTTTTATTTTCTAACTTATAAGGAACCAACCCAACTCAAATAATAACCCTGCCCTTCGTCTTTTTTAATTTAATAAAATGAAAAATATTTTTTCATAACTTAATCTTTAACTAACTACAGTACCCGCCTTATTGGTCAGTTGCTTGAGTTATCAGTATATTAGCTTTTCAGGTTTTTCCTTTCAGTCATCACTTTGGTCATTTAAAAAAAAAATGTTAGCTATTTAGTTTTTAAATAATAATAATAATGTAAAGTATTATCGTTCTGGTCTTTTATTTTTTTTACATTAATTTAGTTCTTCGATTATGTAAATTATCATCAAATTAATTCATAAATTTGTAACTTTTTTTTTTAATTTTCATTTTTGGATTTAAATGGATAAATCGAAAGCCGTAAATGAAGAAGTTGGTAGTATTTACTAGTATCATACCTGACCTGTTGTGTAGTTTCTAAAAATATCCTAGACATTATTATGCTGATAGTTTAATGGCCAGTCTGGTTGAAGTTCAATAATTTTTGCTTAGGAAATTTTTGATTATTATATTATCATATGAGCTAACTTATATGTCTTTTAATAGATGAAGAAGGAAATGAAAAGAGAATTCAATTGACAGTATCAGGTGTGTTTGAGATGAGTGATGGTCAACGTATAATAGTGCAATTTGATAGACAAATGCAAGCTTATGGAGAAGCAGTAGTACTGCTTTCTGGAGCATGTGGGCGTATTGTGAATGATTGCAAAAATGTTCCTATTAGCTATGAAAGATGGGATAAAGTACATAAATCATACAAGACAACTTGCTTTAACACTCTGAAGGTATATGCATGCACCAAATTTTTAATTTCATCATTTTAACTTTTGGATTTTTGGGTTAGGCACTTCTACTCGAGTATGGACTGATTATTATTTTTGTGAAGAATCTATTTCTTTTTCAGACTTCAGAAGAAATTGCTAAGCGTTATTGTCTACTTACCATGGCGAGAAGGTATAGAAATGGCAAGTCAAAATTATGGCATTCAACTTATGACTCAAAATTTTCCAGAGACCAATTAATTGATGATGTCCCTACTAGTGTTCCTCAAGACCAATGGTCGTCATTTGTTGACTATCATTTGACACCAAGTTATAAGGTAAATTTATTAAATATTGGTTGCTTGTAATTTAATTTATTAAAGGTAAATGCATTTGTCTTTATGTTCTTAAAAAAAAGGTTTCGATTGTTCTTCCTAAAAATAGTTATTCTGTGATAAAAATGTACTTATTCAAATTTTCTCAAAAGAATTTTTTTTAATAGTAAAATCAGAAATTTATTGTTCTTAAAAAAAAGGTAAATAGTTCTTCCTAAATTTTTTGTTTACTTTTGCACAAACTCCAGTAAGATTCTTATTTAGAATTTGTGTCCTAAATATTGTGGAATAGTTGCATGCTCTAGCAAAGACTTTGTAAGTTTCATCTGCTATGAGTCTGTGGGACCAAAGGAACTCAGCTTTGGAGTTGAAATCAGTATTGAATTCCAGAAGTGGATTCTCCATCTGCAATTATCAACACACGAACCAGTTATACTTTTCGAATAAACTAAATGGTTTCTTATATTTTAATTATTCAAAATTGCCCTTCTGTACTCACAGTTATCCCCTTGAGATTGAACTTGGTCTTTGTTTCAACAATAAGTTGTGAAACATAGTGGCCTGCAAAAAAGATAAAAATTTCACTCTATTGTTCTCTTCATTTATGAAACCAAATATGTTGTAATTTATTATTATTTTTTTTGTTAATTCCTTGTTCATTTCGTAGGAGTTATGTCAAAAGAATGCTGAAATCAGAAAAAAACAAACAATTCCACATACTGGGGGGTCCAAACTTTTGTCTCGGAGACGACATGAGATGGTAAATTAATTGTGTTCTCCCTTATTAGGTCTTATACATTTTACATTTAGACTTATGTGAGTCATATATATTCTAGGAAGAAGAAATTGGACGACCTGTAAGCCGAGGGGAACTATATATTGCTACTCATAAGAGAAAAGACGGATCATATGCCAATGAGGAAACAAAGGCTATAATGGTGAGTTACATTAATGTCTGTATCACTATTTTGGATCTGCATCATCATTGTTAAGTAGTATTGCTAGTGAGTCTATCTATATATATTTGTGGTGTGGTGCATAAAATTTGCAATAATAACTATTACTTGTTTTCATATAATAAGGCACTATTATAGACAGTAGCATTTCCAAAATAGTGTCTCAGGTGTCTCCAAAATAGTTCATTTTTATGTTAGACTCACAAATATTGAACATGTACAGGAGCAGATTCATGAAGAATTAAGTCAGAGCACTAATTCTATTGAAATTTCAACAAATGATGCGGTTGCAAAAGTTTTAGGACCAGAGCACTCTGGTCGCGTACGTGGTTTAGGCCTAGGTGGCCTTCCTAGTATTGCCTTTGGACTCACCACTGGACGATTTAATCCTATTGGCTCCACTTTCTCAAGCATGAATTCAGCTGAAAGTTCTAAATTGAAAGAAGAAGTTATTACCTTGAAGACCAAGTTAACAGCTTTAGAGGAAACTGTCAAGACATTACAGACTATAATGCTTGCTTATATACAAATGAAAGAAGGAAGAATTCCTCTAGAGTTGGATGCATTGTTGGGCATGGCTTCTACTCCAATGGTAATGATTTATATGGTTATTAATTAATATTGAACTCTATATAATACAAGTTCTTGAGTTAAGTGCTTTATTCGCTGTAGCATTCTAAAAGAGTACAGTAAATTGTTCTTTGACAGAATGAAGGAAGTGAAGCTGGCCCAACACCACGCATGAGTTGACACTATATATTGTGGATTGTGGAGCTTTAAGATAGATGTATTGTGTATTTTGGTTTAGGATAATTGTAACTTTCCTACTATTGTTTACATGGTAATGACCTTTATGCGTTCTAGTTTTTTTGAGATGACAAACGTTATGTCTGTTCGAATGTGTACAATTACAAAATACCTGTTTACTATATGGCAATTGTGACCAACAAATATTCAATTGTCCTAGCTTTCTTAACTAACTAATTAGTTTTCTAGTTTTTTTAAACTCTCTGTCACGTTTGTTGACATACGTGTTTCATTTACATGTATCTATGCATGCATTAGAGACATATGGAATCATCTTTTAGATGGTTATAAACACGAGGGGGCAAAGTTTAAATTATTAACCAGATTCAATGCATGCCAACAACTATAAAATTATGGGGGAACTACAACCGAAATAGCACACAGATAGTGTTTTTTTTTGGGGGGAGGGGGGGTTCAAAAAATGCCAAAAAATGAAACTTGTGGGGATTAGAAAACGTCAGAAAATGAAGCATATTGTAGAGGTTTATAAATGCCAGAACATGCAACATTTTGTAGAGGTTTATAAATGTCAGAACATGCAACATATTTTGGGGGTCAATAACCCCCACAAATTTCTTCAACAAATACTGGAGGTCATGCCAGCGGCTACATAAAAAATGCTACAACATATGTTGTGGCGAACGTCATACCAGCGTGTTGGTTGAATGCTACAAATGTAGTATGTGGAGGTTTAAGGCCCCCACTATTTGTACATATGACCCCCACTATATGCATATTTTTTTGTAGTGTATATACCTACGACTATTTTATGTTAATATACAAGGAAGCACAGACACTTGTAAAAACAGGGAGAGTCGTGTCCGACACGCTCCGACACGACGACACGCTTCGACACGGTGTCGGACACGCGGTCAACTTTTTTCGACATGTTGACCATTCCGACACGCGAATTTGACCGTGTCCGACACGGTCAAATGATATTTTCGTAAATTTTTTTAAAATTTTTTTTTTAAAAAATTATTTTTTTTAAAATATTAAAATATATTAATAAAGCTTCCACCTGATCATATCAATTTTATTTTTTTGTTTTTTTCCCCTTAAGTAGATAAGAGATCAACTCAGCATCATTGTTGTCAATTCCTATCACGCTCTTGTTGTATCTCCTTGTCTATGATCTCTCTCTAATATGATTTGATCTCTCTATCTGATATTATATCTCTCTCTCATCCCAGTTCTTTTTTTTTATTATTAAAGCTTCCATCTTTATAACGTGTTGATGAGTATTATTAATTTAGTTTCATTTTTTTGTTAAATTATTAAATTTTAAATAAAATATACACTATATAAATTAAAAATATTATTTAATATTAAAACGTGTCCCAACGTGTCGAAATGCATAATTTTTTAGGATTGACGTGTCGGAGTGTCGTGTCGTGTCACGTGTCGCGTGTCGTAGCGGTGCTACATAGTTAATATAATACTCTCGATTTTAATCGTTGTGATGTCGAAAGTGGAAAGAAAAAACAATTAAACAAAAAATTGGGATTTAATAAAAGAGAAACTTTTCGTTCTCAATTATAATTATTAAATAACAAAATATTTAACTTGTACAACAAGGATCTTAAATACCCTTTTGTAAACCAATAATAAATCAATTTAAAATCTAAATCCAAAAATAAATATAATGATAACTACTCTTTAAAAATAAATGAATGGGTTTAGTGTTGTCATTTTAAAGGACATAAAGTTATATTATTTTAAGTGAGAAAAAACACAAGCAATGTAAATCATAGGAAAGAAAATGAGTATTTTTTTTAAATTTAAATTTTATATAAAAAAATACTACATTGTGTCTTTCTATCACTTAAAATGAACAACTCTATGTACTTTAAACGATAAATATTTTTCCCTAAATAAATACAATTAAATAATTTAAAACACATTCCAAATCTTAGATCTCAAATCACGTCAAATTTGTTGCTTTTCCTTTTTTGTTAGACAAATCGCAATCATATTTGCCACTTCATTTGGACTTTGATTTGGTTATAATTTTTTATATTTCAAATTGTTGTTTCTTTTGCATGTTAGAAAAATATTGCTTGGACCATTTGTAATGGGCCATCTCTAAGTGTATCACGTTTATATTTTTATCTAATGACTCTTATATATCAAATGCAGCTATATTAATGGATTAAATTTGGTGTAAGAATTTTTATTTTTACACTAGTATAAGTTGTTGATCAAAAGTAGACCGACCAATTGACTGGTCAAACCAATTTAATTAGGATCTGGAGCATATGTTAGTCTACTAGCCAATTTACTAGTTAGCAATGAATCGATAAAAATTTTGTGAAATAGCTCTATGGTGGTTAATATTTACTGATTTTATGTAGATGAACAGATGGTTAATGTTTAGTTCGTGATAGTGGACTAATTGGTGGTTGCTCTTTCGTGTGTTGCGATAGAAGAAGAGGTGGAGATTAGGTTCAAACGCATGTCAGGCACATGCCTTACATCTTTCAACACAAGTCGGCACCCGACATCCGTGTTCAGGGTTACATCACCGACACCAATAATCTTGTTGGTCACCTGACTTCCTATCTTCGCGACTCCAAAATCACCACCTCGGTAAGAGGAGAAAAAATATTTGCATGGAGTGACATGAAAAGAGGCACCGGAGTCAACAATTCAAGTGCAGTCATCATATGCAACATTCAAATAATTGTCTTCACGGAGGAGAAATATCTTAGCATTCGAGTTGGTAGCTGCCGCAATGGTGCTCCTAACTTATTTCTTCTTTGGAATGATCTGATCCGACTTCACAGTGTCATTCTTCTCATCTTTTTGCACAGTCCCGCAATCCAGCTTCTTATGACTGGGCTTCACACAATAGAAGCACTTCAACTCATATTTTGGCCTAGACCGGCCTCTGGACTTGTCACGATCTTGACTCTTGCTACAACCCTGGGCGTCGGACCTTCCTCTATTCTCGGTCACGTTTGCCTCAGATATGCTGATTACACCTCGTTCCATTATCCTGGATTTTTTATTCAGGAGGCTGTCTTTCACGACATCCATCTTCAATTTTCCATCAGGAGACGAGTTGCTTAATGTCACCACCAGAGTATCTCAACTTTCTAGGAGCGAGCTCAACAACAGCAAAGCATGCATCTCATCATATTATCATCTCGGCTTTAGACAGCTGATTCATAATACCTTTGTAGGTGTTGAGGTGTTCAATCATGCTCATGTCGTCCTTGTATTCGAGTTTCACAAGTCGGCAAACTAGGTGTGTTTTTTCTTGGGAGTCCTCTTCTGAATCATGGACTCCAGCTTCATCTACAACTCGTACATGTTCATGAACTCGGACAGGTGCTCAAAGAGACTTTTGTCAATATATTTCTTGATCGTGGCTACCTCCTTCCGACTCAAGATTTCCCACTCCTTATCAATTTTTCCTTCAAACTTCTCTTTAAGGATGATGGGCTCATATAGATCTTTGCAGTACATATGGTCTTTCATCATTGGTCTCTAGTAATGAAGTTGTCCGCGGTCAGCTTGAACATATCTCCTTCATGTGAGATTTCACTGGTCTCCATCTCATCTCCCTTAGAACCCGTCGAACTCGGGCTCTGATACCACTGTTGGGAACTTGGTTCCCTCGACTCGGCTAAGAAGCCTTTGCGGAAGTCAAACATCGAGCTAGTAGCTCGGCTCTTCAATCAGAGGTTGGCCTGCATCAACAGGTCGACCAGCGCAGCAAAAAAATGAAAAACAAAGAGGAGAGAGAGAACACAAGTAAATTTTAATGTGAAAAAACCTTCTCCAATGTGGAGAAGTAAAAACCCACAGGACACTAGACCAGAATCAAACTTCCACTATGGAAATAATGGGTTACAAAGATCAAGTATCACCAACAATGATGGTACACTCAAACCTCACCTACAATGGTGATTTTCTCTCTAACTCCCTAAGGAGATATAACACTCAAGCTTTTCCCTAGAGGTGCTCTCAAAATCAAAGATTTGAGCTTTTCTCTCAAAACCCCCAAATCTCATAAGTCAACCTTTTTCTTTTCTTTCTCTAACCTACCTCGACCCTCAACTAATGTATTTATAGAGGAAGGAAGATGTTTAGGGCTTTAGGGTCTCCTAAACCCTTATGGGTTTTGGGTTTAGCATTAAGGATGAAGCCCAATATATATATATATATATATATATATATATATATATATATATATATATATGAGTTTAGTGAGTGTACAGTAACTGGATGTAAAATTTGGTCCAGTGTACTAAGTTTTCCCACGATAACACAGTTATAGTAAATATTATAACTATGTTCTCCCGAGAGAACACTATTATAATATTTAGTGCATTATATTCTCGCGGGAGAACTTAGTGCACTGGATAGTCCAGTCACTTTATTTTCATTTTTCCATATATATATATATATATATATATATCATGCTTAGCCTAACACTTTTGCTAACTCAATAATTCGATTGCTTTGCTCACTATGTTTATGATGTTATGGTTGGCCTGTATCACAATCAACCACCCAAACTTGTAAAGTAAGATAACCAAACCCGTTGTTGTTGCTTTAGTCTTGTACCTGGTTCCAGAAAATTAATTCAGCTCCACCGCATTACTTCATCCACAATCTATCTTATGAACTCATTGCTTTTCGTAACCACATTTATAAGGAAAGAACAAAAGAAGATGTATACGTAATTTTAATGCTGATTAAGCCGAATATATTACTGATCTAGCTAGATCGAGGAACGGGTGTCCTGGAATCGGGACCATTAACGTTTGGTATGCATTTCTTTCTAAGGCAATATTTAATTTTGTTTTATATATGGTCTAAATGTTTCGGTATGTAGCATATGTTGTTGTTGTATTCCTTTCTATTAGGAGTAAAGTGCACGTTAAAGATGTGTACACGTTTAAAGATAAAAAATAAAAAAGAGAGAAAAAGAA